ACACTCCCTGTGAATAAAAATTCAACCTTCTCTGCTAGCAGTGAATCTTAAACTTACCAGTGCTTGCTCAGTTGCGCCACAATATATGAGGAGTGTTTATGAAGACAACTAAAAACGTGCAACCTAAAAATACCTTTCTCACCAAGTTTATCTCTGTCATAAAGTATTATATAAAGTGGATTATAGTGTAATAGCCGTTTCATAGTGAGACGGACATCTAGCCCACATGGCTAGTGGGGCAAGTTTTCAAAGGTCAAATGACTTGTTTTAAACCCGTGCCGATGATCTGCTAGCCAACGAACTCTGAGACAAGAACGTTAGTGTGAGCAAGGCGGGTAATATCCTTAAGGTTTTGTTAACCAAGCTGACTTACGGGTTTAATCCACAACGAAGTAGAACGAGACACTTGCTTTCTAACCACAGTATCGTCAACACCACTATAGCGTGAGGGTGTAGAGTAGGACTTAGGCGGTCAGATGCTTTAATGTTGGGATTTAAGAACGCTTCATTTACTGTGTAAATACCAGCCAAGTGGATGTAGTGGATGTAGTTTGCCGAACATACATGAGATCGAACCTCGTTAACTGGCTTGCAGAGTTCAAGTAACTAACTGGTCAGTAATGTACTGTACGAATTCCAGGAAACGCTAAGCAAACGAGTGTATCCGTTAGGACCCGATATGAATGCGCAACATTAAGATGAGACACTCATCAATTTGGAAACGAAACGAGAAATGAATATAAATAAGTGTTTTGTGGTAGGTTTTGGAACGCTATCCGTCCGACCGACTACTGCCACTTATCCTCATGACGAGTCAACACAGGAATCCCACTTTGCTCTAAAGACTATTTGCTGTATGAACACGTGCAACATAAGGAATAACTCGATGCACTAGTTCTACAAATCATTGTCACGGTGCTAAAGCTGAGGAGAAAATAGTATTAGCTATAGCAGTAGGGAACTGAAAGAGCGTTGAAAACAAGCACAGAAGGTAGACATACACCGTTCAAGACTTGAAGGTCGACAAACGATCAGTCAGCTGAAGATGACTGAGCGGAAACGAGGGAAACCATATAAAAAGTGTAACGATAAAAGTGATGAATCATGATGCGGAATTGGTGTGAAAGGGACGATGTGAACACGTGAGGATAAGTAACCCATAGCAAAAAGGTCCTGAACAGCGTAATTGGAGGGTCGAGCAGTACTTAAGCACATCAAAAACCGTTCGAACTAAGTATTTTACTATAGACATTCACGAAAGAACAAGAATCGAGTGCAAAGAAATCAAGTGGTTGACACTAGATCGTGAAAAGATATTGGATATTGGAAGCGTTAACAAACGAAATTCCCTAACTCACGTTGCAGGCTATTTTTTCGTGGATTCAAGACCTACACTAATAAAAATAATGAAGAAATATCTATTTAATGGTGCGTATAAACATATAAATGACAGGAGAACGATTATTAATAGTACTAACAGAGTTCAAGCAGCATTTAACCAATTTTGGACCGAGTCGTTTTTCAAATAAGTAAGATGGCAGAAAGTGTTACCAAATAAGTATAGTTTTGAGCATAGGAAAAGCCCTATCATGAGACTTAAACAGAAGCGAATAATCTAAACTGTTAAGAGTAAAACCAACCTCGTGTACTGCTTCACGTCAAAACTCCGAAAAGCCGCGCCCAGACCCGAAACCCTATAGCAACCTCCATTACATTATCGATGTCCAATATTGTATGTACGAGCCAGTAGAAAATGTTAAGGGTTTTCTTTTTTCTGAAATGTGTTTTCGAATTTCATAATGACATGATAAAATTCGTTCAATCACCTTGTTATAACAACGTAGGTGGGTTCAACAGGCTACTTTCGTCTCCAGAGGAAGTTAAGCTTGAAGAAAACGCTCTCCATAGCACCTTTCTAGTTAAGAATAACAAACTCCATTCAAAACAGATTTCAGGAATGAATGGGGTTGAAGGCATAGTTGAAGAATTGTTATGATTTCGAGACGTGAGTGCTCTAATCTCTCTAGGTGATACGAGAGAATGCATAACTCAGCAGCGATTTGGAGATGTTGCGTGACCAAGTGCGTTTAGCTAGATGGTGTCCACTAAAAGTTATGTGGTCGACTCGAAAACAGCTGAACTATTTAGTTTCGTTATTTGCTTACCGCTATTAGCTAGAACATGACTAACTGAATTAAACTGTTTTCACTTGTCGCCTGTTAAATACCCAGTGTGTTAATTAGCCATGAGTACTGCATTTTTCTATTCTGAGTCATTTAAAAAACCACAATAAAGCTGCTTGAACATCTTAAGCGAATATTCGGCTCTGACACCTGATTTCTGCAGATCGAAACTAACGCAGATAGCTTGGCTAACTGTAATTGATCTTTAAGACTGAACGGATAATATCGTGGCGTCAAAAATTCCGGAAGTGTGTAGTTCTAAGGACTTTTAACTTTGATGTTGACTTTGTCAATCGGTATTAGAGACATGAAGCAAAGCGTTTAGTTCGGTTTAAAATGATTCACATTTATAAGCACTAGTTTCCATGAAAATTATCCATACACACAGACTAATAACTCATCCTCTTGAAAATAAAGCTATATTAAAGCCACCTGTGTGCATTTTCTATTGATTATTTCAGAAAGACATCATTTATCTGTGTGCCATTTTCTAGTTGGTGCGATGCAGTAAAATGAGGATGAGCAACACGAGATGGATGGTCTTCACCCTCACTCACATTCGAACCTCAAAATCGTGTTTGATTTAGTTTGAAATGCCCTGAAGTGTTTTTTCGTCTCTATTTTCAGTAATTAACCGAAATTTTAAGTCACTAATAGTAGTCGTAGCGGAATAGCACGAATTTGTAAATTCGCTTTAGCTGATTACAGTTTGGAAACAATAGTAAAACCATCAAGAAAAAGCAGGTGCATATGATCGATGTCGGAACAGCCTTACGTAAAATTGGATTCGAAACATGGGTTAAAGTTGATAGAAATGATTCTTGTATGAGATTGAAAGGAATTGTTTATGAGTTTGGTTATTCGTATGTCAACTATTGGGATATGCTAAAACAAAAATGAAGAGCATGGGAATTAAATCTTAGAAATTACAGAGTAATGTCACAGATCACGTTAAACATAATCGATTGACTTGCTGATTTAAAATTAGACAAGAAATAATAACAGAGTCTGGGATTCAATTTGTGAATGGACCTTTACGTTGCGAAACCTTGGAGCAAAGATTATCCAGATTAGGCATTATTCATTACTGAGATTTTTGGGAACGAACCAAAGTGAGAAATTCTTTCAAAGCATTTGTTTTAAAAGACTATGATAAATTCAAAGTGTTTGTTTCGTTGCCTCACCATCATGATCACTGCCAAGAAAACGACAAAGAGTTGTAGTGTTCAAAAAATGAATTAATACTATTTTGTGAAGATAACCCCCGACCGTAGAATTCCCTATCAGCTCCATCCTTCTCTTCCTAAAGTTATCTCACTGAACAATACTTCTTGAATAATATCTTCGACCCCTTATATTCTCCATTACTGCTTATTCTTCTACTGTCTCCACCACTAAGGGAACCGAACTGACAGTGGCGTCTCTGTGCTTATCCCGACCGTAGCTGCTACCTTGACGCGGCGGTCGGGCTAGCTTATCGTAATCACCCAACCGAACTATATCGGCTGCAACATATTTTCATGTAGGTTCTATCATGCCAGGCCTGTCGATTGGAGAGCGATGAGACTAAAAGCAGCTACACGACGTCTGAGGACGGAGTCGTACCGCTAACTGCAGAGGGGTGTGACAGCAGTAAGGTGCTTTACTCGGACAACCAGCATCTGCAGCGATGCTGCCTTCTCACAAGGAAGGAAGGGTTAGAAAATGTCGACCCTAAAAATGTCACACCTCACCGTACCTGACGGATTTCCGTCCCGAGCGGTAAGGCCTTTAAAACAACAACGAAGCTAACACTCCTAAAACATCTCATAAAATGGCCTCAAGCAGTTGTCCCTTCTGCTCTGCGGTCATGCTCCCTGATCTCTAAGACCGAAAGGTTGCTCAAAAACAACCACGGTGCGGGTAGCCTGGAAGTAACATCCGCCCTCATACCCTAGACCGAAATGTTCACAATCAAACCCTTTCCACACCTCTTAATAACTCTCTTATCTCCTCGACCAACCGTTCTTTCGATCGCTTATCACCTCACGCCACTGAAGCAAATGGTATGAGCTCACGAAACATTACTCCTGGTCTCTTGAAACCCCGTACTAATTAAGATTTTGGAACTTTTAATGTCTGGACACTTTGCCAAATAGGGCAACAGGTTTCATTTGCTAGAACTCTGGAATACCAGGTGATTGAAACGCGTATATAAGGTCCGAGTAACATCATCAATTTGATCTCATCTAGTGCAGATAGAGAGACAACAAGGCTCAGGCTTCGTGTTTCTGGAAGAATTGATGCCGCTTCTTTCAGCATCGCCGGCGTAGATATAGTTTTAAATCCTAGGGCAGAACTAGCTCTCTTGGACTGGATCCCGACTGACAGTTGCCTGTGCACTGTCCAACTAAACGGGAGGTATGGACTCGAAACGATCGAGACATTCGCCGTTGCCTCATCATCTTATCGGCATTCGTGCAGAATCCATTTAGGAAGGCTTTGTTTAGGAGAATCCTTCCTTGTATACACTTGCAAAATGTCCTAATTGATTCTTCATTTTGGTAATCTGTTGAGTTTCATTTTGGGATGATAATATTTGTAAATGTTATTTCGACAGTGGCCGTCCCAATTGGTTCCAATAGAAGCACTCCTGTACGCTTTTCCTAGTCCCGGGTCCCAACTTATTCAAAAAGGACAAAATTCTAGGAGAAAACGTCTCTTTATTAGTTAGAAAATGGAAATACAAAGCCTTACGGAAATTGTACTTCTTCCAGGGTTAAGTTACTCCGCAGAGTATCCGACACAATAACCAATAAGTGACACTAAGTCCAGCAGCCACCGCGTCCGTCCAAAAATATGGCGGTAGCCATATTATATCAAATTTAAACAACATATGTGCAGTTCAGAAGCAAACACAAAAACTTCAATATAAGTACAAAATATAGAAAGAATAACAATATACAATGATAAAATCTCAAATTGGAATCAAATAAAGTACCAAAAATGTCAAAAGAAAAAGTCCGTCATATCATAGCAAAAATATGTAAACATGGAGGGATTTTCCAAAAAGCAAAACATTCAAAAAGAATTCTACACCGGCCCACCATCACTTATCGTAGAAGCTACTCTAGGTCCAGTTATATAATTTACCCGAACTGAAGGGTTCCGAAAATAAGCTTTATTCCGTTCGGTCAATCCTGCCTGGGCCTTATTCATATTTGCTGAACTCATTAACCTCTGTTTACTCGAATCCAAATAACCATTCCAGGCTTTTCGAGCAGCTAAGAGGCTTTTATCATCACACACTTCGGATCCATCTTGATGCCTACACTTTTCGCCTTTTTCTTTCTTTTCTATACTTAGAAAAGCCATCTTATCTGTTACACCAACCGGCTTCTTACTAGGACACGCATCAAGAGGTTTTACATCGTTACGGTCACATACTCGTCCTTCATCAGCGTATGCTTTCGTGATATAATTGACAAATCTCTTATCTTCCGAGCGTGCTTTAGGTAGAAACGAAAAATCCTCATGTCTCGCACGCAAACCACTAGTAGCTTCCGTATTATTTCCTGTTTTAGCCTGATAAGCTAATCTTCCAAACCTACTACTAGCTATCTTAGCACGAGACATAATAAATTCCGTCAATTCGTTAAAATTAGGCTCTCTCTCCTCTTCGTCCCACTTGATTACTAGCTCTGCCCACTGGGCTTGCATTCGACGAGGTAGGAGCCTTACTATTCGTTCTAAAGTAACCATGGAATTGAGTTCCGTTGTGCAATTTAGCTGTTCTAAAGTTAAAGCAGCATTCTGCATTTTAATAGCCAAGTTCATCAATAATTCAGGATCATTAAATTCTACATTCCCAGTTCTAAATAAATCCTCTAAGGTTTCACGGGCTATTACATGTGACTGCCCAAAAAGCTGTTTTAAAATGGCCTTAGCTCTCTTATATCCTGCTTGTGGATCCATAATAATACAGCCTTCAATCGCATTTTTTGCTTTTCCCTTACAATAATGAATTAAATACAATAAACGCACTTGATCGTCCTTTATTCGAGGTTCTATAAACGTGTCGAACTGACGCATGAACCTAAAATAGTCGCGAGACCTTCCATCAAAATATGAGAGTTCAACCTTAGGTAGTTCTAAACCCTCTATCGATGACTTACAATAATAAATATCAGACATAACATGTGGGTTACCCATAAAAAAGTTATCATTAACGACTTGCCTAGAGCCCTGTGATCCGTCGAGCTCTTCCACCCTACTCATGAGTGATTTTTTTCTGTTTGACATCATAAGTGAAGTTCAATAAAAAAGGTAACAATACAAAATATAGTAATTCCACGGTTCAGTTCAAAAATACGATAAATAATCCAACTTCTTCCTCCAAGGAAGTCTAGTGTGATAAACGATTAAAATTCCAAATGTTTCTTTATAATTCTTAATAATCCGAATAGTTCCAAAATATACACGTTCAGATGAATATTTCCAAAGTATAATCCTTTATAGAAGAATTTCCA